TCTGGGTTAAGCTTATTTGCCTGTTCTTGGGAAGATATGGAGTGAAGTAGGTTTTCAATCTGCCTTGCTCTCTGTCTCTTAACCATAGTTGCTAATTTGATCAGAATACCTCTTATGTAAACTTTATAGGTGTTCCAAAGAGTAAATCTATTAGTATCAGGCTTGTCATTATGCTAAAGAAAGTTTTGGTGTTCTTGTTTAATCTGTTGGAGCAGTCACTTGTTCATTAGTAGGGAGGAATTTATTCTCCAGATTGAAGGAGGTGTGATACGTAGGTTATCGTCAAACTCCAGAGTAATGGGAGCATGATCAGACCGAGCGGTTGTATCAATGTCAAATCGGAAGGTATTTTGTAACGAAAACGTATCAGTTAAAAAGGTCAATAAGAGAATAAGATGAGTGCGGAGAGGAAAAGAATGTAAAGTCCCTTTCCAAACCGTGGACATCTCCATACATCATACAAATTATACTTATTGAGTAGCAAAGATATAGATTGTGTGGGTCTCTTTTGGGTTGAGGTGGAGTCCATGGCAGGGTCCACTATGGCATTAAAGTCTCTTCCAATAACAAGAGAACCTTGGTGCAGGTCTGAGATCTTAGAGAGTAGGGTGTCCAGGAATTTGTGTTGGTTATGGTTCGGGCGTACAGTGTGAATATAGAGTGGTTGATTTCACATATGAGAATAACATAGTGGCCTTCTGGATCTGAGAGTGTATGGATTTGATGGAAGGATACAGAGTCTTTAATTGCTATTAGGACCCCACACATTTTTTTGGACCGTTAGCCAAATATAAATTAGGGTAGTGTCAGAGCGATAGGTATGGGCATTTAGAAGCTGTGAAATTAGTCTCTTGGACCATCAAGCATCTGCTTTTAAAGGTTGGGTCTCCTTTAGGAGGAGGCTTCATTTGAAAGGGCTATTAAGGCCCTTGGCATTCAGGGACATTATTTTCAATGGCATACTAGGTGAAGAAACATTGCTAGACCAATGTGCTGCTACTGGTTATGGGCGGTACAGTAGGTAATAGGTTCCCCGGCCAGATCACTGACAGTGTGTTAGTTAAGTCTTCCTGCAAATTTATGAGAAATTGTCGAGCAGAGGCTGTAAACTTGAAGTGTCCACGGAAAATGCTGAGCTGCTTTGAAAGTCAAGAAGAGTGATGAAGATAAAGGAAGGGAGTACATATTAAGAAAGACCCTATATCAAAAGACAGGAACAATGGGCAGCAATGCTGCTTATAACTGGGGGTAAACACATTTAGTACCTTGGATACTATATGTTGAAGGGGATAAAAGAACAAACTTCTTGCTTCTCACTAGAAATGTGATTCAGTTGCGGTGGGGATTCCCTAGGTTTAAGGAGGAAGCCCATGCACCTAGGACCATTCTGTGTCCAATCTTTTAGGTGGAGTAGGCTCGTTGGGCTGGGTTCCAGCAGGGAGCAAGCACCATTGTTTGAGCAATTGAAAGCCATTTTCCACGTTATATATCAGAATTTTCTTACCATTCCATGTGAGTTTTGTGGGAAATCCCCATCTGTAGGAAACATTATAGTTCCGTAGAGCTTTAGTGAGTGGGGCAAATTTCTTCTGGTTAATTGCGGTTTGTGGTGATATATCTGTCTATATGGAGGTCCCTGCAAACTCATCCGAGGTTACTGGGTTTTGTTTGGCGGCCACCATAACTCTTTCTTTAACATGGAAGTAGTGAATTCTCGCCAGTGTATCTCTTGGTGCAGTGTCCGGAAGAAATTTATGCTTAGGGATATGATGCACTCTATCAATAAATAGTTCAATGTCCCTCAGGGCAGGGATTAAAGCTTTCATAAGGCGTTGGCCATATGTAGTCAGCTCAAGTTGTGCAATAGATTCCGGAATGCCTCTAAAAACTTTACCTTGTTGCACCTTGAATCTGCCAAGTCAGCAATTTTGTTATGTAATTGTTGTATTTCAGTTTCTTGATCAGCGTATGTGTCCACTACATCTCAATGAGCTGAATAAAGATCCACCATTTTAGATTACATATGATTTATCTTGTCCTCGTGTTTGGACAGTGTCCTTAAGGGAAGCAAATATGTCTGAAAAATCTGCAAGGTGAGATCTCTTCATAGAAAGCAACATGTTTTTCATAATGGTCTCTGATATGGGCTGGTCACTAGCAGGATATCCCTCAATAGATTGCTCAGTCATAATATATTCTAAGGGGAAACCAGGCCGCTGCTTACTGGCGTTAGTATCATCCTCCCTGCGCTGTTTAGATTTGGCTGCGGATGGTAGGAGTATTGGGGGGAGAGCACTCACGCTGGTGTTTGTGTGGGTCCAGTCGCTGCTCAGTCCACTGCAAAGCTGCATGGTGCTTCATTGGCGTTCGGGCTGGTGCCATCTTGCTTCCCTCTGTGTCCCACTGCAGAATAGAAGTCAGTGAGGCATTGAGGCTGTTTAGACTGATTCCTCCTCTTGGACATAGTGCCAGTATGTTCTGGATGAGCTGTAGAGTGAAAAGTTGGTGGCAGGAATCTCCCTTAGTCACTGTTTTGGCCGCTATGGGAAATGAGCCAGCAGCTATCTCCCTTGCTGGCCAGATATGCCCACTTAATTAGTGGAAGTTTTATATAGATTGTACTTGGATGTTCCTTGTTATATGTATTCATTTTACTTATTAATTTGCTCAGTGCTGCACTTTATATCACTTTTTATAGGAGTTGTTACCTTTTCCTTTGTGCAAGCTGCTTCATATTTAATTTCCAGCACTTACCTATAATCATTATTCAATGAATGCGATAGACGTATTGGCAAAAACAAAAAAAGTAGTAGTTGCCATAAGCCAACTACTAAAGTAATAAACCCTTAAGGAATGTAGCTTATGTAAAAACCACATTTTCTTCCTTTTAGGAAAAAAATATCCGTGGATGGCATTGGTGACATATACAATCACTGAATACACAAAAACAATGAAAGACAAGCAATCTGGATTGCAACATTGAGTTTTTCTAGTGGTATTCACTTTGTCTGGTTGAGAGATGCAGCAACATATTAGCAAACCTAGCCAAAACTCAGCCATGTATCACAAGGCTGTGTATTATATACATGTACGGATTGCTTGTCTCTGTTTTTAATGTGTATGCAGTAATTGTATATGTCACCATCCACAGATTTTTTTTTTTCCTAAAAGGAATAAAAATGTGATTTTACATATAAGCTACATTGCTTGGGTGTTTACCTATTTTGGTAGTTGGCTCATGGCAACTACTTCTTTGCTATATAATTTGGTTTACACCAACACCTTTAAATAGGCGAGACCTTTGAGCTTATTAATCGCCTATCCCACCTAAAGTAATAGTGGTACACTCATTTCTAAACCATTGGTAAAGTGCTAACTGTTACCACACACATATTGGTGATCCTCAATTATGCCACACAATGCCCTAAATTATACCTCTATTTCACAAGTTTACTAGAACGGTTTTTTCCAATGATTAGATTTCAGATTAGGTAGTTGAACACATTCTATCATCCTCAGATGGATGGCCTGGTTGAACAAGTCAACAAAACCCTAAAAGCCATGCCTAAGTGGATGGTATAAAACAAAATGACATATTGGGAGTGCCATATTGCCAGCATTCCTGTTTGCCATACATGAGGTGCTTCAGGACCCACACAGGGTTTCCACCCTTTGAATTGGTCTATGAATGGATGACCCTGGGAATGGATTGACCTAGTGAAGGAAGAATAGGCGAGTGAGACAACCCCTCAAGAGTGTTCTAGAATAGGTCTCCCAGTTTCTTGGCTGTCATAAGCACTCTGTTTTGGTACTCTGCAAGCTTGACAAGGAGCATTTGAGTTTTTTCCTATACAGACTTGTTTTGCTGCACACATCTTTTTGAGTTTAATATAATACTGCTTTGTTTTAGACGTGCACATCCTGCAATCCCACACTGACTCACAACACAATATGTACAGCTGCTCTATTTTGGAACTCAATGTTAGCATCGACATCTTTTGGAGTTCTGACCTCTTTATCTTATGTGGCTTCACTTATTTTTTTATAACACATAAGTGACCTTCACTCTTCTGTACCAGGCTAATCACCTAAAACATCTAATGTATCCCATTCTGTAAGACAGCAGATATACTAGAATATATCAAACACCCTAAAATCATATTAAAATTATAGTAAAATGTTACTTTTTTTTTTTTTTTTAAAGAGTTAGTGCCTAAACAGGGCATGAAAAATAAATGGCCAATATATTTTTTGTGCTGCTAACACTACCATCCCACTCACTGATACAATTGCTCTTACCACTACCTTTTCTATGCTACAACTATTACCACTACCTTTTTAGGTTTACCTCACCCACTACCCTTTCTATGCAGGGTGCCAGCTACACCAGCTAATTCCACACCTTACCTCTGCCCTTGCTATGCTAATACTATTCCTACTCTTCCTATTGCATTGTAACACCAAATGTTCCAACCAATAGTACAGTTTTACTACACATTACACTATAATATATATTTTATTACATTACAGTGCTGCTACTGCCACTTTACCACTAATCTTACTAGGTTTTTACTTCTACCCCTAATCTATTGATAAGATCAGAAATTTATATTGTTTTACTTGAAATCCCCCCCAAAAAAAAAAAAAATAAAAAATTATCAGACAATGCAGGCAGAAAATGTAGCATTAGCACCCTCTGTTGGTTACTGCATGCCTTTAAAAGTAATGCAGCAAACCTCCAGCAGGCAGTGATTTGCCATCGACCACAACAATCAATCCAAAGTCAGCATAGTGCTAAATAAAAGTATTGGTTTGATCAGGCACAATAGAGCTCATTGGATTTTATTTGAAGATTGGATGAAATTTATTTTGAATAAATGAACTGAGCAAAGTACAAGGGTTACAAAACAGGATACACATTTTTCTTCATCCACTATGACCGTTTCACAGAGCCTGGATATGGACATTTGATATAGACAGCTGCTTGAATACAGGATTCTTCATTTAATGGTATGGGCCATGACCTGGAAGCCTTGCACGGCCAAGTAGGAGATTCGCAATATGGGAAAGCGGACTGGAAATGAGAAAGACTTTCCGTCAGATAGTTTTATGGTGATCTTGTCTTGCTCAAACTTGAAGCAAACCTGTAAAAAGAGAGGCAGCACAGTGTCAGCTTGCTGGACTATAAAAAGTCAGAATGTTGGCCATATAGAATTTTTGCTGCAATTTATGGTTTGCTGGTAAAGTCTAAGATGATATGCGCATGTCGCTTATCTTATGTATTCTTTATGTGTTGTAGAAAACTGTTAATGGAAAAGTAAAAAATTGGAAGCATGTGCTTCTGCTCTGTGTGACAGGGTCTCTAGGCAGTATCTGTTACACAGAACAATGGCTGGAGTTCTCAGGAGATCAATAGCTGTTGGCCACTCAAGTCCTAGTATACCAACCAGCCTCACCCAGGGCTCCACAGAACTCTAGGCTAGACATTTGTGGTTCATTTCATTCCGAAATGAAATTTAGACTAATTTTTCATTATTTGAATCTGAATTTTTAAAATACAATAGTAATGAATCAGAAAAAAAAAAAAAAAAAAAAAAAAAAAAAAAAAAAAAAAAAAAAACTTAGCCAAAATTAAAATTGAATAAAAAAAATATAAGTAAAACAAAATATAGAACAAAGTTAAAAAAAAAAAATTAGAACAGAATAGAAAATTTAATTCTAATTTTCTTCAAAATTAGAAAGATTATATTCTAATAGAAAAAATAGAATATAACTGTTTTTGGGTCCCAACACCACTTGGCAGGGCCAGCTTTATGACACCAATGATCTTTCTCTGCATGCAAGAGTGGCATTTGGATCACCAGTGGCATTCTTACTACTGGTCACCAATGAATAGATTTTAGGTGTTCCCAAAGACCTGAAAATTTAAAAGGTTTCCTCTAGGGCAAAAAAAGGAGAAAGGCTGTTGTATGCCATGCCAGCTGCATAGGGCCTACACTACATGCCTAAAAAGGTGAGAACTGTGCAGGAGTGCGGTGACTGGACTGTGCATTGAGCCTCTGGAATGTGACAGAATCCTATGGAGAAGGCCTTAACATTTGATGTGTATAACAATGGGAATGTTATGCCTCAGTTGTTTTCAATAATACTGTCTGTCCATTATCTGCAGATCACCATGAACAAACCATATCTGCAAAATATCCAATTCTTGCACCTTTCTATAATGACGCAATCCCAGAACCCCCAATACACATCTGTCCTGAGAAGGGCCCCATTTGCCATTGTCCCAGCCAGGGCTCCACTCATGTGCATCCTTAACAAGGGTCCCATCTACCATGATTGACTTGGGGTAAAATAAGAATACAAATTACTCTGGGTCAGTCCTCTTGTTCTGCCCCATATTTGTTACTAAAGCAAAATGTATTTATTTTTTAAACACTAGGTCATGCTGACCTGCTCTGCGCAGTGATACTGCAGTGCACCCCCAACCCTCTAGCTCCTTGGCGACACTCCTGGTTCCTTTGTGTGCCTAGAGCAAGCCGTTTGCTGTGGAGGCACAGTGTCTGCTTGCTCCCTAGCTGTGAGTCTATGGAGCCACACCAAAGATTTACATAGCGGGACTTAGTGGGCCCCCCCACCCCTCACTTCCTACTCACTGCATTTGATTGCTAGCAGCAGGAGCCAATGGGTCCTGCTGCTGCTCAAATGCTGTGTAAAAAGAGGGGAGAAGGGATGCAGCTGTGCACAGTGCTGGATCTATTCTCCCCCCTTTTCCTTTTCACACGGGGGGCAGAAATTAATTTTTTTGCCTTAATGCAAGGAAAACATTTAGGCAATAAACATTTTTTAGCTTCATCACCAAGCCCTTCCCCCAGAGATTAATTTAGATGAACAGCATTCATCAGCAGTAATATCCATTTCCCATATTCCTCCCCCTAGTACACACATTGGACCCTTCCTTGTATCCCTTTCCCAGCACTCACATTGATCCTTTCCCTGTATTCCACCCTGGAACCCATATTGGTATAACCTCTGTATCCTTTCCTCCATCACACACACTGGTCCCTCCATAAAAGTTGGAGCATTGTGCTGAAGAGCTTCAGTTCCTGGCCAGCCCCCCCACCATATTGGATTTCCTGATCCCTATTCCCTCTCATCTTACAAGCATAAGATTTTCAATAACACAAGCATACACAAAATAGAAATGACAGTTCAGACAACCAGTGATCTGACCAACAGCAACCATTCTTTCGGCAGTACATCATCATAGCACACAATGGCAGCATGATGCAATCCATTGGATCTTTCTAAATGGAAAGATCTCATCTTTCATGGAAAGAGCAATCATTATAGCGAAGACACACTAAGCCATCGCTGACCGCTTTCTGCATCTTTCAGAGATTGATATCATGTGTCCAATATGAGCAGTGTTGCCACTTTACCCGATCCAACATTGGTCCTGCCCCTCCCAGCTTAGACGTACCTTGATGTCTGTGCCATCCTCAAAGGGGAAGAAGCTTTCCCTCTTCTCTGCTCCCCAGACGCTGTCCCGCTTAGAGTTCAAGATGATCTTTTTCTTGTCTCCATCGGCATCAAATCGAGGATTAAAGTGTAGCACTAAATTCTTCTCATCTATTCCCATGCTTATGGAAAACCTAGCAAGACAAACAGCAATTCTGCTCAGAGATAGTACTTCAGTCATTCACCAGTGGTACTCCCATGAGTCTCAGAGCCATTTCTGCCACCTTTAATGATAATTCATAAAAACAAATCATACACAAGGTATATCAGCTAATATTTTTGCAGTCTTAAAAACCAACAGTTTGCTTCAAAAACCTTTAGACAAAAAATGAGGTCCTGGTAAGATCACATCCATATAAAAAAAAAAAATGGCCAAAATGATCCCGGATAAGAATATGCTATATAATTTGCATATCCATAACAAGCAGTAAGATTTAACCAGTTGCTGTTTACCCTACAGCAGGGTCACTGCTACAGTGTGGACCCCCTGCGAACACACACACACACACACACACACACACACACTTCCAAGCCAGAGGTGCACGTGTGCCTGCCTGTACTGTGATTTGGTACAGCACTGATCAGTCACCAGATCCAGACCAATGATTCTTGTCCTGGACCTGCTGATTGGTTGGACAAAATTCATCCTGTGCCTGCATTTACAGATCACAGGAAATGATGCAATCTTCTCCCCTGGAGCCCTTTATTTCCAGATAAGAGAACATCTGAGTAAAAGCAGCACAAACATAGCTAGGTTACATTCAACCCCTGATCGCCCCCAGTTAACCCTTTCACTACCATGTCACCAGTGTACAGAATTGTTTTACTGATCACTATTAGTGTCAGGGATGACATCAGATTGTCTGACACTACATTACCACCACACATTTAACCCTTTGATTGCCAGGAACACTCAAGACACTATAAAACTTCCATTGCAAGTATAGTGGGAATGAACTTTGATCAGATCACAACTATACCAGCATCCACATTATAGCACCCCCAAAACCAGTATTAGCAGGATCAGCCCTGACACCTGCCAGCACCTGCATTTATCCCCTCCGCTCCCTCCCCCAGCAAGTGCAGTGTCAGTAGATCACTAGCACTTCATACATTACATGCCAAACTGCAGTGTAGCAGGAGCAGGCATTTTGTAGCGGTTCAAGCAGTGCCCACAGCCAGGTGCTCTTTCTTCACAGTTGCACTAGGTACCTATAAAATTTAGTGGCCAAAATGTTTAAAGACAGGTACTCTAGTGAAAGAGGCCTACATGATTCCACGTATATCGGATGAGAGCGAAGGGGAAGCCTCACTGACAGAATCAGGCTTAGAATATGAACCTGTACAGAGCAACGGCACCCTGACAGATAGCTCAGATGAAGAGGTCCCTGCTAAGGTCAGGCGTACCCAACCCCATGCCCAGGTTGCTGAGGTGTTAGAATTGCATGATTCTCTAATGAGTGCTAGTGTTGCTCTACTTTTTGGTGAACCACCAGGAGCCTAGTACATCCTGGTCTTTTACACACCAGACCTGCAGTATCACTTGGTGACGTGGCAAGTCCCACAAGTGCAGTACAAGCTGGTGTGGTGGCTAGAACAAGTAGTGTCCCACAGCCACCAAGAATTCAAACAGGCCTGTAGACCCCATAGGGTCTTTACAGATGTGCCTGCAAATCCTGATTGGCAGCCCACAAGTTCTGTGGCAACTGTACTTCTCCCATTCATAGACCAACCTAGAATGGTGGAAAGAGCCATTTTATCTAGTCCCGTTGATTTTTTGGAGCAGTTTTTCGGGGAAGATCTGTATGGAATGATCGCAGACCAAAGCAATTTATATGCAAAAATTTATTGCCACCATCTTTAATTTAAACCTTACTAAACAATTTCCATGGAAACCTATTACGGTTTGCAAGTTTAGAATTTTTTGAGGCCTAACCCTCAACATGGTTATTGCTAAAAAGAATGAGTCACGGTCAGATTGGTCCATAGACCCAATTCATCATATATCCATGTTCTCTGCTGACATGGCCAGGCATAGATATGAGAATATATTAATTAGGAATTTGAAGGGTAATATGCAGTCGTCCTCGGGGTGACCTTGAATATGATGGGCTCCACAAAATTCGGCCCCTCAAAATCACTTTAACCAGAAATTTGCTGATGTATATATATGTGACGGGAGCGACTTTTGGGGGGGGACCCCTGTATCATCTCCCCAAATCATTATGTTTAACCCACCCTGTGCCTGTTAACGGTTACAGGGTGTGTATGTGAATGTCTGAGTCCTGTGTATAGTGTGTTCCTTTGTCTAGGCCACATGGCTGTCCATTGTCTGTTTGCCATGTGCTCCCCCCCAAGGTGCTGTGTCTTCCTGTCCAGCCAACTATTATGGGATGTATTGTTTGTGTATTGGTGTGGGGGTTGGTCAATGTCCTTTGCCACATGGTTGCATCCCATTGTTCTGTGTCTGGTTGGATGGGGAGGGGTGATGAGGTGTTTCCTGCCTATACTGTAGCCCTTCCCACTGAGAGGGTGGGCTGATGATGTATTTCCTGTTCCTGGTTGTGTTTCCCCGCCCTCTGTATAAAACATGTTTGTGTAAAATAAAGGTAGTTGGCTTCCT